TGCCATCGCTATCAGGTTGGAGGCCATTGCTATTAGGTCGGACGCCATCTCTACTGGTTGGAGGCCATTGCTATTGGGTCGGACGCCATCGCTATTAGGTTGGAGGCATTTGCTATTAGGTCGGACGCCATCGCTATCAGGTTGGAGGCCATTGCTATTTTGTCGGATGCCATTGCCATGGGGTCGTGGCGTTCACGATTAGGTCCGAGGCTATCGCTATTAGGTGGGAGGCCATGGCTATTAGGTTGGAGGCCATGGCTATTAGGTTGGAGGCCATCGCTATTAGGTCGGAGGCGATCGCCATTAGTCAGAGGCGATTGCCATTGGGTGAGAGGCTATCGCTATTAGGTTGGAGGCCATCGCTACTAGGTTGGAGGCCAGTGCTATTAGGTTGGAGGCCAGCGCTATTAGGTGGGAGGCCATGGCTATTAGGTTGGAGGGCATCGCCATTAGGTTGGAGGCCATAGCCATTAGGTCGGAGGCGATCGCCATCGCTATTAGGTTTGAGGTCATCGCTATTGGGTCGGAGGCCATCGCTTTTAAGAGAGCTTCCGGCCATTCGGAAAGGGCTGAGCCTTTTCAATCGACTTAGCTGATCTGTGGGTGTGTCACTACCATCGCCTCCTTGAGGTCGCCCGAGCTGGCCAGTACGTTTCTGGGCATGCAGGCGATGAGACTTCAAGAGACTTCGAGTGAGTCTTTTGTTGGCTCAAAAGAATTGTATTAGTATATATATATATATGGACCATTTATTTCAAACTGATACATTGACAGCGCTACTCCGTGATTGGTATATGTACATATGGTGCGGTAGGATCATAGACGTTCTTATGGCCGTGATTCAGTCTATCCAGTCCAAGTTACTGACGTCGCTATGAGCTCGCAGGCCTCAAGGGATAGATTTGGACGGCCTCGTCGAGGTGATGATGATGATGCTCCAGTGAAGGTGACATGAAGACACAAGTCCTATCACTGACCGATATGTCAGAAATGCTCATGCGCACCTGAACCCAAATAACTTTATATACACAGAGTATATTTGTTTAAAGTAAATTCAGAATATTCCTTGCCTCTTTCGCTTTGCCCAGCTCTCTCGGCTGATGGACATTTGGAGTGTGGGGATGTGCGCGATGGAGGTGGGGAAGCAACATTACCGCCGAACTGTCATTGAAACTGGATATTTGTTCTGGTTCTTGGGTATTCAGATTGTTGAGGAGCTGTCTCAGTAAATATCACTACTTGTACTCAATAGCTGCAGCGGCATCGCGACGCATTGGAGCCATGATGCACGATGTGCATTTTTGCCGTCAGGCGATTTTCTTTATCCCGATCCTCAAACCTTGGCAACCAGCCCGCAGTTGGCCTCAAAGGCTGCGAAGTGTGGTGGTTGGGGTGGATGCAGTGAACTCACTGCCACGTGTATTTCCCCAACCGAACCAGTGAATGGGAGAGACAGACAGAGAAAAGCATGCAAACACCATAAAGATAAAGAGAAAGAGAGAGAGAGAGAGAGCCCATGAAACATATGACTGTTGCATGCTTGAGGTATGACGAGTGGTTGGAAGAAACAGGCGGTATTTTTTGTTTGCGGAACAAATTGTAGACTGCAATCACTTGCAAGAGCAAAATTGAAGTGTGTCCTTTTTTTGCATGCCCTCTATTTTTAATGTGCAAGCTAGCCAATATACTTTTTGTCATTTATATCATTTATTTAGCATGGAAACATACTCACTGCTAGGAAAGTGACTGACACCTTTGCCACAGGTAGCGAAGACAAGTTTTTGAGATGGCTGGCAGACACGAAAGAACAGATAATCACAGGACCTTTGAGCTTTATCCATTTAGATGCCTGCTGTCTTAAACACACAATCCGTTTTGATCCGTCTTGTGTTTGAGAGACGCTGGGATCAGCCGTTTCCCCGTCCGTTTCTGACCCAGGAGACATGCGGGATGCTCTCCAAGAAATTGATACAGTCCCTCGGCCATTGACATTGATCAAGGGATATGTTCTTTTCGTTCGAGCAGAAAGAGAGGTTAAAGGAGAGCTGTGTGCCTCGTGCGGAGTATTCTGAGATTTGCATCACCAAAGCTAAGGACATGTGCAACCTTCTAGAGGGCATGCTGGAGAAGGACTCTCTGGCAAGACACTGCGAATATTTGTGAATGCCTCCTTGAGAAGTCAAGACTCATCAAGAAAACGAAACGGCTTAGCCTCAACCGCTGTATGCAGACGCGACATAACGAAGCAGCTTGCAAGAAGAAGATGTTTCCTTGCTTTTCAGGACCCTGAGAAGCGCTTCAGCATCATCGAGTGTATCAATCACTATTTTTTCCAGAAGATCCGCCATACGCACCTGGAGGAGTGGTTTTGGAAAAATGAGGTGTTGGCGGCTGTGAAGGATGGACAGATATTGGAAGAGTAGGAGGTCCAATGTACCCTGCGGGCGACTGCTGGTTGAAGGACCTCGCGGGAATCCTGGAAGCCTCGACTCTTGGTCGCGTTTTTGGCCTGGGCCAAATGCAGAAATGTTTGCGCATGCGGCGCATGTGCACGTGTGCGGTCGATTGTTATATTGTTGGTCTCGTTGTGGACGACTTTTGTTTTTCAGTTGGAACGCACTTCTAAGACATTTCTCACAGTCGGCAGTGTGCACAGAGCCAAGGGATTTTGGCGAAGACTCCTCTCCTGGCGGAAAGTCTGCAAAGTTTCCTGCTTGCACAAGTGCATGGCGAAGGGTTCTCGTTTAACTTTGGGGAGTCTGAGGGTAGAGCTGTTTTCGCGAGGTGTTGGGGGTTGTGTTCGCAAGCGTTCGCAAGGGTCCGCAAGCGCTCGCATGGACGCGCGACAAGGCGGTGCCTTGCGGGACCGTTCTTTTTCAGGTCTTTGATGGATGGGTGATCGGCGCGAAGCGTTGCTATTTGCAGGAAATGTGAGAGTTTGTTGAGGTTGGATGTGTTGAGGTTGAACTTTCGTGGCAAGCGCAGGGAATCGTGAGGTTGTGATGTTTGGTGGAGGTGAATGTCGCTGTGCCACTGGGATTGGCGTGTGAGCCGCTGTGTTTTTGAGGGGCTTGGATTTAAATAAAAACTGCTTGGCAGGGGCTGCATAATGTTTGCGTTTTGATGAAACTTCCTAAATGCTCGTTTTGGATAGCCCCCGACTTTTGAATCAAATCTCGCATTTTTGGAGGCATGTCTGTGCCATCAGCCTCTCTTGAGGGGCTTAGGTTGCGAAGCTGCTTGGCAGGGCTGCGTGATGTCTTCGCTCTGAGACTTCCTGCTTGAAGCATGGGAAACACGCATGTGTAAACGCGACGAGTCTTGGTGTCCCACTGTTGCATCTGTCTCTGGCGCACCGTGTGGCGAAGTTCGTCTGTGATGTTGCTGTGCCATGCGGTGTGGCGCGGCCTCGCCCGAAAGTGCGTTTGCGTCGCTCCTTGGAATTGGGGGCAGGGAAGCGCGCGCGTGTAAACGGCGCGCGTCGCTGGTGAGCAGCGGGATGCCCTATGGTGCCAACGAGGTGTAAGACAAGGGTCTCCCACAAGAGAGTTCCACAAAGAAGGGTGCCCCTACAAGAGTGTCCCAGAACAATGTCCTACAAGAGTGTTGCGCGGGCCTATGTCATACGTATGTGTGTGTGTGTGTGTCAATAACTCCTGTTTCCAAGGAGCTCTGACACATTTGTGCAGTCGATTGACAGACACTGCCCAACGAAGACACTGTCAGCTCGTGGTGATGGGACACCGCATTGTGTACCTGCACCAATTATAATTTATCATATCGTAAAGGGCTAGCGCGTTTTGTTGTAACCTTCTGTTTGACCGACCCAGCACTTCATGCCGTTGATTCAAGTCAAGTGCTAAGTATTCAGTAACTAGCTTCCGGAATTTGCAAACTGATAGAGCTCTTGCGAGCATGGATCTAAGTGTGCTGCGCAACAGGTTCCCACTGAGGTCTGTTGTGTGATCCCAGCTTTGGGCGCTTTTAGCGCAGACCCTCAAAGGTGCCTTCTCACTGTTCTCTGCGTTTCTGCTCGATCATCCTCTGACAAGCTGATTGCTCGAGATCGCAGACTGCATGCTGCAGGGCCCACTGCAGCCATCACAGATAAAATGTTTCATGCGGCTAAGTAGTCTTTAGCAGAATGACATGTCGGCTAGTGTAATCACATGTGTTCCAGTTTTAAACAAACCGAGTAATTCATGCACAGTCTTGCTTTCTCTCCTCCCTTGTTTCTCTTTCTAGGTCTTTCCTTCGTTGCCCCGCACCCCCTGGCTTTCCTTGCCTTCCTTCGTTTCTTAGGTCTTTCTTCAGGCTTGTTAGGTTGCTGTTTAGGCTCGTTTTGGTCGATCCACACTCCCGACCCCCCGCTTTCGTTCCTTCCCTCTTTCGTTTCTCTTTTCTTGGTTTCTTCGTTTTAGAGGTTTTTTAGGCTTGTAACCAGGTTTCTTTAGTCAAGTGCTTGCCAACTTCCCAACTGCGCGCCGAATACAGCATGGTGTGTGTGTGTGTCAACTCCTGTTTCCAAGGAGCTCCGACACATGTCTACTGCCCAACGAAGACACTGTCGGCTCGGGACACCGCATTGTGTACCTGCACCAATTATAGTTTATCGTAAAGGGCTAGTGTGTTTTTGTTGTAACCTTCTGTTTGACCGACCCAGCACTTCATTCCTCTGATTCAAGTCAAGTGCTAAGTATTCAGTAACTAGCTTCCGGAAATTGCAAACTGATAGAGCTCTTGCGAGCATGGATCTAAGTGTGTGTGTCTGTGCGTGGCACAAGAGTGTGCTCTTGGAAGAGTATTCCTAGTGTCACCCCAGAATGTTCTTCCAAAGTGCCTACTTTGGAGAGTGCCAAGCAAGAGTGTCAAACAACGTCTGGCCGTTTTACGCTTGTGGATTTGGGTTCGTGGGTTGTACAATTGTCTCAGACCTTCGTCAACCTCCACATGTCTGGATTCATTGATGTGTTTCACATCCTTTTTGATGCGGCAAAGATTTTGCATGGGATTGGCGGGGTCGGGCAAACACGCAAAAAACCAAAGCCTCACGTCTTGGTGGATCGCTAAGGTCACCCAAAGCCCGGTCTGAGACGTTGCCAACGGAATTGCAGCGGCCAATCTCAGAGATTGAAGCGAAGGAGCAACAGCGCAGGGCCTCCCGGGCGTGCGAGATCATGTAGTGGAGCGCCTTTGCCGATCCTTCACCTTCGCCAATCCAGTTTTCATGCACTCAAAGAAGGTGCTGATTTTGTTTTCATTTTAAAATGTCACGGAGAAACTCTGAGCCTCACAGCTCACCCTCTGTAGAAATCGGACCTTACCTCAGGCAAGGCCATATTTAGAGGCAACGCGCAAGGGGGTTCTTGTGGTCAAGGATGTACGTGCAAGAGCAAGGTTCTTCCCTCATTTTTCTACAATATATACTATTCCTCGTTTTTTTGTCACATGCACGCACAGTCCAGCTCTGCCGGATCCACCGAGTGCATTATGCCGTTATGCTCATAAACACGGCATGCAATGAATGACGTGCAAGGAAGCAGTTGCAATTACATGCAAAGAAATCTGCATTCAGGGGACACCACCTACTTGCCACAAGTTCGATCCTCTTTGAATCTGCTTTCTTGGCCAATCCAGCTCCGCCATTTATGCGTGGAACACCGGAGGAACAAGGCCCCTGAGGCACCTGATGCCAGCGTCTTGCAGAATGCAAGCTGAAGAGCAGGAAATTCAGGCGGACTTTGGACCTTCAACTTTAGCTGTATCCAGGAGATTATGGAATATTGGAATATTCACTTCTGATCCGCATCATGCACATTATTCTATTCACTTCTTGGATACAAACTACGGGGAATCTGAATGCTTTCATCGATCCTGAAAGGATCCTTGTTGAGATGCTTCACAGGCAGAAGGGTTACCATGTGCGGCATGATCGACCACTCCGTAACTTTCGCTCACAAAGCATGACGACTGGAGAGTTTGCTGATTGAATTCCAAGCCTCAGCTCCCTGTTGAGATGTTGAGTATGTCTCTGACTCCTTGCCTTTGCATCAAGGCTTCACAAGCTCAAGCCAAACAACTAGTAACTAGTATATACCTCTGACTGGTTGCCTGCCAAAACATCTACTCCGAGCACACGCAGAGTGCCTGAACCTGAGCTGTGGCTATGACGTCATGTGGCAGAAGGTAGTGTCCAGCACATTTCGGGCTCAGATTCTAATGACACATTGTGCATATCATTTTGTTAATTAGGAAGCTCTACAATTTGGCTTTGGATGTAGATCCCAAGGTCAAACATTTGGGCCATACTTTTTTTTATTGGGATCTGTACGGAGTCCTCCCAGAGAGAGAGAGAGACACTGAGACTTACTTCCATAATGAAACGCAATGTTGATATTCAGAATGGTTCTGCACTGCTGAGTTTAGGTGATTCATGCCCTGCCACTGACTCTCCGCTGCATTGCACTGAGATCTTTGCTATTCAAGTGCACTACAGTCAGATCTTAGTGTCCCTCTGTTTGAGGAAGCATGGCGGCGAGAAGGAAGCTTTTCACCTTTGAGGCTGCAGAACTTGCCACAGATAGACACAGCAAGGTCGAGAAACTGCGCTCACAGGCATTGCACAGCCTCATCTTCATGCTATTTCTGCTTTCCCTTCCCTTCTGCTTTCAGGCGCGGGTAGTGCGAAGAGGGGCGGTGCTTTTGTTGGCCTTTTGGAGTTTGCAGGTGATGCCACCAAAGGTGCAAGAGGACATATTTGGACATGCTGGATGAATCCTGACAGTTTCTCAATATGCCTCACAGAAAGAAACGGATCCTGGAAGCAAATGTATGGTTGTTGCAGTTCCTTTTCGCCTTCAGTTGCAAGGACGTACCACGTTTGGAGCGTCCAGACATAGCTTGCCTCGGGGAATGCCCGTGCGAGTCTTTACCGAGGCAGGCGACTTGACCTTTCTTTTGAGTTCTAGAGTCTTTGCGCATGCTGAGACTGCAGGCCTGAAGTGGAAGAGAAGGCGTCAACACACATATATATATATAATTACTATTTTCAAATTCAACTTTCATTGCAAGCTTTCATTTTGTTATTTTCACATTTGTCACACCTGGCTTGTTGAATCGAAGCTTCAGATATACCATTGCCACGGTCTGCTGATTTGGAGCGAGAACAGAGCGTCAACCGAAAAAAAAAGAAAGGAGGTTGAAGTCGTTGGAGCCTGCAAACAAGTGTATCAACTTGTACCAGATGTTCAGGGATACGGCAACAGAGTGGCAAGAGCTTTCCAAGTCAGGCAAGAACAGCTCCCCAGCATTGTGCGGAGACAGACAGGCACTGCCAAGCCAGTTGAGGGCACTTTGCAACCTTGCTTTGGATGCTTTCAGCCATAAAGCACTCCGCCCGACAGGATCTCTCTTGTGTGGCGAGCTTGGGATGTTTGGCACAATTGCGGCTACAGTTGCGTGAAGCTGAACCTTGTAAGATTGGCATTGGTATCACACAGCAATGATCACTAGGTCTTTCCTTGTTGCGCTGATTGGCGGCGGTGTTTTCAGCCTCGAGGCCTTTGAGGCTGGGATGTTCAATGAACCAACATGTTTCATTTCATATCTTCCATTTGCTTTTGTACT